CACAGCTTTTAGCTTTCAACATAGTCTTTTACAGAACATATTCCCAGTTTGTATTCAGGAGTCACCCCCTCTACTTTTAAGATTAGGCTTAAAACTTTCCTGTTTGATAAAGCTTATAGTAAGGATTGGATCACGTGACCCTGAGCCATGCATTAATTAGCTGCAATAGGCCTAGGCTGCTGGGGGCTTTCCATGATGCTGGAGCGTTTCTTCTTCACCTCTTTTCACTCTCAGTTTATACATCACTCTGCATTTCATCATTAGTTAACTTTCATCTCTGGCTCTCTTCCCCAGTGGTTTTTTTCACTGTTTCCCTCCCCTTAACCTCATTCCAGAGTCTAGTTCTTCCAGAAATTGCTTCCCATTGCTGCCAAATGCTTGCTCCTAAGCTACAGGAGGTAGAGCAGGTCCCAGCTGGTAATGGTAAAACCATCATATTTTACATTTTGGCCAGTGGACCTTTGTGGAAGAAACTGAAGCATCAGTACATCAGTATATGTTGACAAGTTCACTGTGCTTTTAATTGCTTCTGGAAAAGTTCAACCTGTGAGACCCAAAGGCAAGCAGAGGAAATTACTTTTCCAAGTCATTATGTAAGAAGATGGAGCAGGATTGATACATAAATGAAGTCTGGAGGGAATAATGGACAATGTGGGTAAGGATGTTGTTGTAGAAAGCTAGTTGGCCCTTCATCTGATCATTTAAACCCTGGAGAAATACTCCTTGTAATGCATTATCTGGCCAGCTCGCTGTGGCGGCCACAGTTTGAAACTTAACTAAGAACTCAGCTATGCTGCGGATGCCCTGGCATAGATCAAACAATCTTTTAGCTAAACTGCCCTCAGATATAGGTGAGCAAATTTCTTTCTCAGCTCATTCATATGGGAAGGTAGAAATGGAATGATAAATGAAAAAACCTCAGCCCACGCCAGCGCTTTTCCCCTGATTGCATTGGACAGCTTAGTGGCATCATTAGGGAAAGAGCAGGACGAGCAACCCAAAGCTAGCGCACATTGTAACAAAAAACCCCAGCTAGGTGAGTTCTCTAACTCCTTTTAGATTTCCCGTAGCCTGTGGGTTCGCATCAGCAGCAGGAAACAGGTGAATAGCAATAGGTTGCAGACCAGCTCCTGAGATCTGAGTAATGAGCAGAACATGCTACGTTCAGTACGTTCAGTTTGGTGGGTGTGTGGGTGTGCAAAGAGTCTGACAGTTTAGTGGCCCGGCTAAGTTTAAAATGTGTAACAGACTACGAGTCACTGGTACCTCTCGTTAACAAACACAGCTTGGACAATGTGCCACTATGGTACCAACATCTTCTCATGAGGCTCCTGGGATTCAGTCCAGTATTGGAGCATGTCCTGGGAAATACTCTTATCATTGCAGACACCCTGTCACATAGCCCGTAGCTAACACTTTCACAGAGACTGGAACACACAGTGATGTGGCATGCTATGTTGCTAGTGGTAGATTCCTGTGTCCACCAGCAAATCAGAATGGCAACAGAGCCAACACGGAACTGCAGTCTTTCATGAAACTCCCCAAAACAGCATAGACTTAACACAAAGTACTGTCATATACTGGGTTGCCTGAGTCGAGCGGGTGGGCGTTGCGGCTTTACGCCACCATGACATGCTTTGCGGCAGGGCTGTCTATGTGCAGTTCTTCTCTTAGCTGCCGCACCCGTTGTTGTGCTGTTATAACCCATGCTGGATACACGTTCAATAAAGCAGCATCATAAGAAAGCTACCGAGTGCTCATTCTACATGATGTCAGAAGTGACCCGGACCATCGCCGGAATAACGCCATAAGGGAGAAAACAACAGAATGGCTAAGTTTAATCCCCCATCAAGCTTCCCTTTCGATAAGCCGACGGAATGGCCCGACTGGAAACAGCGTTTCGAGCGCTACAGGATCGCAACAAAACTCCACAAAGACGAAGGACAAGTACAGGTGAGCTGCCTAATCTATGTGATGGGAAATGAAGCAGAGAACATTTACAAGTCACTCACCTTCGCCGCCGATGAAAGTCGTGACGACTTCGCTGTCGTAATGAGGAAGTTCGACGAGTATTTTTTCCCGCAGAGGAACACTATACATGAAAGAGCATGTTTTCACCAGCGTGTCCAGCGGCCAGGCGAAACGGCGGAGAGTTTTATCCGAGCCCTGTATGACCTCTCAGAGCACTGTGAGTTTGGTGCATGTAAAGAGGAAAATATCCGCGATCGTATTGTGGTCGGGATACGAGACAAGGACCTCTCCCGCAGGCTACAGCTGATGAAGGACCTCACGTTGGCGCAAACGACCCAGATCGTCAGACAGTCAGAGGAGGTCGCAGCGCAGGTCAGCTTGCAGGGAGATGCGGGAGGCTCAGTACAGGAGGAGAGCTGTTATGTCTCGGTTACTTAAAGGCCACAATAAGTTATAAAGGCAAAGACTACCTGTCCAAGGTGTATGTGGTTCGTGGACGCAGAGTTAGCAACCTTCTCAGCCGCTCCTTGTCAGTGCAGATGAACCTGGTGAGAAGAATTGATGAAGCAACGATCACACCGACAAGGAACCAACCACTTTACGGTGAACACGGAACACTAAAAACTGAGCCAGTCAAAATTCAGTTAAGGGATGATGCTGTGCCATACGCGGTGCATACGACACGCCGTGTGCCTTTCCCCATGCTGCAGAAAGTGAAGGAGGAACTACAAAGAATGGAGTACCATGGTGTCATTGAGAGGGTGACCCAACCTACCGAATGGTGTGCCCCAATGGTGCCTGTCTTGAAGAAGAACACAGCAAGGGCCAGGATCTGCGTTGATCTGACAAAACTGAATAAGTCTGTCAAAAGAGAGCGCTATATCTTGCCTACCCCTGAGGAAACCATGTCCAGGTTGAGTGGGGCAACGGTCTTCTCCTCGCTTGATGCAGCCAGTGGATTTTGGCAGCTCCCATTGCATCACGAGAGTTGCAAACTAACGACATTCATCACGCCATTTGGCAGGTATTGCCAAATAGGCTGCCCTTTGGGATAACAAGTGCACCAGAGATCTTTCAGCGAAAGATGTTGGAGACCTTAGAGGGGCTCGAAGGTGTGGAGGTCTTTATGGATGACATCCTGGTCTATGGGGCCACCATGGAACAACACGATACCCGACTTGAGAAGGTGCTGCAGCGCATTGAGTTAGCCGGATTGAAGCTCTCAAGGAGAGAAGTGCTCCTTCAGACAGAGCCAGCTTCGCTTCCTAGGGCACCTGATCGACTATTCTGGGGTCAGGCCAGACCCTGAGAAAGTGAACGCCATTCTTCAGCTGCCGTCACCAGAAAATGTGCAAGAGCTTAAACGGATCCTAGGAATGGTTAATTACCTGGGCAGATATATTCCTGCTCTTGCCACAATATGCCAGCCACTGTACGAGTTGCTTAAAAGCAAAAACAGTTGGACCTGGGTCACCCACAGCAGGCAGCCTCGAGAACATTAAGAGAGCGCTTACATCAGCACCTGTTCTTGCCTTCTATGACGTCAACAGACTCACAGCCGTATCTGCCGACGCCAGTAGCTACGGGCTTGGGGCTGTGCTGCTTCAGCTTCATGGCGCAGAGTGGAAACCTGTTGCCTACTCTCTAGAGATGGTCATGTGGCGTCTCAGCCAGTGGAGGCTAGAAGAACAAACTGCCCAATACCTACATCTCAATCGAAAAGGAGTGTTTGGCAAGTGTTTGGGCCTGTGAGAAGTTTGATAAGTATCTATGTGGCTTAGATCGCTTCAGGCTTGAGACCGACCATAGACCTTTGGTGCCCCTGGTCAATAGCCGGGACCTTGACAATGTTCCATTGAGGTGTCAACGCCTCCTGATGAGGCTCATGAGGTACAAGCCGGAGGCCGTCTATGTCCCTGGCAAAACGCTTGTCATCGCCGACAGACGTTGTCACGGAGTCCACAGACTCGGGCTGAGGATGACACTAGCACTCACAGTGAAGTGGACTGCTACATAGCCACCGTGTTACAGGGCATTCCAGCGTCCCCAAGCCGAATGGAAAGCATTAAAGCAGCCACTGCAACGGACGTTGAACTACAGACTGTCATTACGTACATTACGCAGGGGTTGGCCTGCATACGGAGCTAGTGTGCCATTGAACATTAAAGCGTACATGAAAGTGAAAAACGAGCTATCAGAGGCTG